TCCATCCCAGGGCCGTCATCGTGGCAACCGCAGCAGAGACGGGTCCTTTGACATTATGCCACCTGCGCTGGGGGCCCAAGGAGTCGATGCGATCAACCGTGGCTGTCCAACAGGCACGCATGCGATCCAATCCTTTTTCTGGCAACGCAGCAACAATCTGAAGCCAGGACTCCAGCAGCTGAAACACAGCGGTGAAAGCTGGGTCCTTTTTCCGAACCTCGAGCGCCAACAAGGTCGTGAGACATCGCCCTGCCGTGCCACGAGCTAAAGTGCTAGCGAGTGCCCTCCTCCATTTCTGCAGGACCGAGGGCGCGACCCCAAAGACCTTCCAAGCGTAAGAAGCCTGCGGCAAAGCCCCAGTGAGGATCAACCGCGCCCCGATCTTACGAGGGGCCACTGCAGCTAGCTTACTAATTCGGCAGGCTCGACGAGTGGCCTGACCCAAACGCTTTGAATGACGAGGCTTGGCAACTGCAACGCCACTGCCTCTTTCGATGCCAAGATCCGCCGCAACCGAGGCCACATCGACCTGGATGCCTTTCAGACCTAGACCATCTTGGATCGCCCTCGCCACCGACAGCTCTGACGCCACGATGGTCGACTTGTTAGCAATCTTGAGCTGCTCAGATTCACATCCCGACACAAAAACAGCACCGGAGGAAATGAGCTCCCGAATTACATCTCGCTTCAATCCCTCGGCACGCTGAGTGACATCATCAATCCAGGTGCGCAGGGACACAAGAGAACTACTGGCGCACGCACGCTCACAAATTTCGAACATCTGGCATTTCGAGAAATCGGGGGCCCTGCGAGCGCCAGCCACGAGGCCCCCGTGCGGAAGAATGGGAGGGGCATAGACCCCCTCGTCCCGCAAAAGCCTGGGCCCCATATGGAGAATAGTTTCCAGGGCCAAGGGGTGAGGGGGAAAATCCAAGTCGATCGCATGATCGACAACCTTTTCCCATCGAATGGTATCATAAAAAGCTTCGACATCCCACAGGATCGACGCTGAGCAATACTCTGGCAGCACAGACGCAAGAGCAGCCTCATCAGCATAACACCTGAGCAGAGCCTCTCGTAGAGCGCTGTTGCCTCGAACCGCGGCGCCCCAAGGACCAGGGCGAGCAGAAGCCCAACTCTCCGCAGGCCGAGACCGCAAGCGACTCCACAACCGACCCAACCAGGTGAGCAATCCTATGGCGCGATCCTTACGCACCTCAGGTTTGCGAAGCAAAACGATGATGGCAGTCAGCCATTGCCAAGGCCACGCGACCCTAGCTTCAACCTGCTGGAAGATGGCAAGCAGCGCACGGCGGCCAGATTCAGGCAGCCACCACACGTCCCTCTGGCCGACCGACTCGATGCCACGGGCCTTCCGCGGCGAAATGCCACGGAGCGCCTCCTCCAGCTGATCCAGGGCGAGCGGCTCCAGCACGTCGTGCAACGCCAGCTGACGAGCCTTGTTCAGCACACGGAGAGCGAGACCATCGTCGTGTCCCGACGGTGTCCAGAGCTGGGTCCAGACCGCTGCCTTCGCCTCCATCACTGAAGCAGCGTCGCAAGAGGTAGCTCCGTCCAGCCTCACTTCCGAGACCTCAGCCGTGGGATCACGTACAAAACGATGGAGAGCTCCACAACCCAGAACGGCCTGCTGGTGCACCCAGTCGCGGAAGGATTGGTGCCGCTGCCGCGCAACAGCACGCTGGGCCTGGTCCGAGGCCGCACGCGCTCCTTCGGCGAACTTCGTCAGAGAATCATGCGAGGCTCCATCCAACGTGCGCAAGCTCCTCAACCACCGATCCCGACGGCGAGCAGGAAGAGGGACAATCTGCGAGGAGGGAATCGACCCCGCAAGATGTCGCAACTGGTCTCGCAGGTGACGGGCACGGGGAAGGTCTCGCTTGTCTCCCTTCTGACCGGCAGGTTCGTCTAGCAAGTTAGCTACCGTACCCCACCATCTAGCACTGGGGTCAGCAACTGTGGGATAGGGCTTGCTACCTTCATAACACCCAAGCTGAGGGCCCCGAAGCTGAGAACGTCCACAATACTGCCTTCTCGCCAAGGGATCCACCTTATACAACTCGAGATAATACAACTCCATGGTGGGCACCCAGGTTGCGAATTCAGTACCAAGAGCCTGAGCGTCATCATCAGCAGCTTGAAAGGCCAGAGGCTGCTGAACAAAATCAGGAACAGGAATGACCGATTGCGAAGGCCTGGGCGCCACCTGCTGCCACAGCAAATCCTTCGCCTCAGCAGACCACTCAGCCTGGATGGAAGCGTAAGTGTCCAATTCAGAATCCGAGACGGCCACCTGCTCATCATCGTTATCTTCAGGGACATCCGTATCTTCCTCGTCCGTGAAAAACTCGTCTTCGTCCTCACCAAAGAGGGAGTACTGCAGGGGCGGAGGGCTCTTGATGCTCAGCTTACGCCTCGGCCCCCCACGTCGGCGGAGATGGCGTCAACGTCGGCTGGGGGCGAGCATCCCGAAGGGCCTGGGCCTCCGCTTTCTTCTGCGAACGCTTGCTGTCAGGGTCGGCTACAGGCTTTGGGCGAGCAGGATGAGGGAAAGCACGAGGCAGCCGCATGATCCAAGCTCGGGCCCGACTGGCGTCGAAGTTGAGCTGGAGCTTGAGACCGTAGTGAGCCTTCCCCGCCTCCTCGACCGCCTGAAAGTCAGCAAGCAACGACTCGACCCAAGGCACCGCATGCTGAGACACAACCATGTAGTCCAACATTCGACCTGAGCCCAGCGTGCAGGTATACTCCGTGTTGGTGGGGGTGATGATCGCACCGTTGACCAAGGCCAGCCAGCCTGTGCTAGCCAGCTCCTTCGGCGTCATATTCCAATCACCGATGGCCAGCCATGGCCCCTGGATCGTGGAAACCAGAGTGCCAACGTTGGCTAGCTTGGAAGCATTCGCCTTCGGGCCCACCGACGAGGTCATGTATACTTCAACAATCAACAAAGACTGGCCTTGGGCCCTCAGCTGCATGGCCACCATATCCCGAAAATCAATGCCAGGCTGGTCCTTCGGACCTCGATCCAAATCTCGCAACCCGACCTGATCTGAGGGGGAAGAAGCAAGGTGGCGCATCGACTGGACCTTGTACTTCTTAAGGGTGCCCATGGTGATGCCTCCTGCCTTGGACTTACCATTCGACTCGTAAGCCGCAGAGAGCATGCCAATGTAGCCAGCCTTCCTCCAGTCATGCAGCAAGTCGTGGGACCCCGCAGCTGGAACGTGGGTCTCTGGGAAGACAAGGATATCCGCTTCACGATCGCGACAGACCGACCGCGTGGCAGGGCCCCATCCACCCAGGTTTCGCATATACAGAGTTCGCCTCGTCGACGAACAAGTAGGGGCCGATCTTGTACGTGGTACAGGCGGGCACGCCCCTCGAACACTAGGCCCGCCGCGAACGAGGGGATCAGATTGGCTAAAGGCCAGACTGGCCTGCCGAAGCCGCCGTCGACCTCGCCGTGGCCAGCATCGCCTCCGCCTCCTCTTTCAACTTGGACTCGATGGCCGCCAGACGGGCGGCCTCAACTGCATCGGGTGCTCCAGGAGCGGTCGCCGCCGCAGGCGCCTCCCCCCCAGGGGCGGCCGCTGGCGCCGCAGACGCTGCAGGCGCAGCAGGCGCCTGGCCCGCAGCCTGCGCAGCGGCGTCGCCTGCAGGAGCCGCGGCTGCCCCAGCAGCGGCGCCTGCCCCAGCAACGGGCGGTGGCCCAGGGGAGTTCTCCCTGCGCCTCTTGGTGACCTTCTCGCGCATCTCCGCGAGCTTATCCCTATGCTCCTTCAGCTTGTCATGAGCCTCGCCGAAGGTGGCACGCAGGGTGTGCATCAACGCCTCCATCACCGCCTTCTTGCGCTTGTCCAACTCAGCGACGTCCGATGGGGGAATGAGCCCATCCGCATTGCTGAACTCCTCACCCAACGACAAAGTGAACAGGGACTCGTCCACCGACTGAGCAGACATCAGCGCCGACAAATCGATGGCGTTGGAAGACACCCCCGCCTGTGCAGGAGTCTGAGCCGCAACCGTGGGCACCATCGAGCGGAACAACGTGGCCCTCTCTGCCTCGGCTCGGGCCAAGGTGGCTGCTGCATGCTGCATGGTGCTCTTGCACTTCTCAAGCTCCATCGTCAACTTGAGCTGCTGAGACTGCGCCTTATCGAAAGCCGTCTGGGCCTTCTGAACCTTCGACGCCGCCGCCGTCACCTGCTGAGTGATGGGCTGCGCCGACTCCGCCTTCTTTCCTGCAGCCCGAGTCGCATCCAGCAGCGCCTGGGCCGCCTTCGCCTGCTCGGATCCGCCTCCCTTGATGACGGCCTCTAGCTGCTCCTCGAGGGCGGCCTGCTGCTGCAAATGCTGCAAATGCTTGCCCTTGCCCTTGCCCTTCGCGGCCTTAGGGCCCGCCCCTTCGCCATCACCCGCCTCAGGAGGAGGTAGGTTGCTGAAGGGCGCTCCACACAGGCACGTATTCTGATACATCGGCAACTTACTCGTCCAAGCCCAACGCGGGCACGACGAGCACTTGACCTTCGTGTCCTGCGACTGCTGTGCCCCTTCGCGAGGCTTCCTCTGAGCCCCTGGCCATGGCGGAGGCGGCGGCACAATCCACGGCTGCTGAGCCACAGGGTGCCACGGTGCCCATCCGAAACTGGAGCTCGTTGGAGGCGCTTGCTGCAGGTGCTGAGGCCCAGGTGGACGGGGGAGGGGCGGCCAGGGTTCACCATCCTGCACCTCCTGCATTTTCCGAGCCTGTCGCCACTTCTTGCTTTTACCCATCGGGCTGACCGACTATTAGTGATCTGGATCCCCGAACTCGGGGACTTCTGATCCCAGCCGAAATCGCTTGGAGATTGTCGGTGGCCACAAAAGCTCGCAGTGCACCTGAGCACGGCGAGCGGTCGGGGCCAAAACGGCTGGAGGAGGAGGAGGAGGAGGAGGAGGAGGAGGAGGAGGAGGAGGAGGAGGACCCCGAAGCCGAGGCGACGAGCGGCCCGCGTCCAGGCACATGGCCCCCGCCTCGGCGCCGCGCGGCCCCGGCCTCGCCCGCGCGGCCTCGCCTGCGGCGCGCGACCTGCCACCGCGGGCGGCCTGGAGGTCAGAGGCCTCGCGGGGGCCGTCGGCCCGAGATGGAGGGCTCGAGGACCGAGGCCCCCTCCGTCTCCTGCTCCTCCACCTCCTCCTCCTCCTCCTCCTCCTCCTCGATCTTCGCTCTTCGATCCTCGATCCTCGATCCTCCTCCTCCTCCTCCTCCCTCCTCCTCGTTTGGAACCTGCCCCGCACGCGCGGGGCTCTCCACATGGCGAATGCTGAATGCTGAGTTGTCCTCCTTCTCCCTCCTCCTCCTCCTTCTCCTCCTCTTCCTCCTTCTCCTCCTCCTCCTCCTCCTCCTCCTTCTCATCTTCTTCTTCCTCCTCTCCCTCCTCCTTCTCGTTCTCCTCCTCCTCCTCCTCCTCCTCCTCCTCCTCCTCCTCCTCCTCCTCCTCCCTCTCTTCATCCCACCTTTCTTTTCCCTCTTCCTTCCCTCCTCCCTCCCCTCCTCCATCCTTCCTTTTTATTCGACATTCCCTCCTCGCCCCTTTCTGGCCCCTCTTTCGCCCTCCTCCATCTTCCTCCCTCATCCCCCTGCCGCCCTTTCCCGCCTCCTTCCTCCTCTTTCCTGGTTCTGCTTCTGCTCCTTCTGCTGGTCAAGGAATGTGCCCAGGAGGCTTCAGACCCTGGGGGACTCCTGATCTGATGAGGGCGGCTTCGATAGCCATGGCCGAGCCTCAATCGGTGCTCCACTGGCTTCCACCAGACCCTGGATTCTTTATGCGACGGTTCCTTATCCAGCGCCCTCGCCGCATGCTGTCTGTGCGTGTGTGTGTGTGTGTGTGTGTGTTTTCTTGCCCGATGGTGCTCGGCGCAGCGTCACACCGAGGTCCCCACGCCATTGGGCCTCAGCTTCCTGGCTGCCTTCGAGGAGCCCGCCCCCCCCCCCCCGCCTCGCCCCCCGCCTCGCCCTCCTCTGGCGCGCGGAGGTGCCGACGCCGCTGCGACCCTGGCGCCGGTGCCCGGGGTGGATCGGAGGAGGGCCGGTCGATCCCAACGGCGGCCCTCGCTCGCGTTTCTCGCGCGGGCCGCGTGGAGGCTTCTCGTCGCCACGGCGGGCTCCGCCTCGAGGAGCGGGCCAGGGTGGAAGCCCAGAGAGGCCCAGGGGCAGGTGCTGACGGGATTGAGGCCGGGCAGGAGAGTCGCCGTTGTCTCAACTGGCCCGCCGAGCCAGTGGCGCCGACTCGCCGGATGTCGAACGACTTCTGCTATCCGAGCGCGGCGATCGCTCGAGGCTGAAATGCCCACGCGGTGACAGAGACTGGCGTTCAGATCGTCACTGCGTGAGCATGCCTTATGCGGGGTACGCGACGATGTGGACAAGGGCCGTATGCGGGGTATGCGTCGATGCGGGCAAGGCACTCTGCCCCTCGCGCGCGCTGACGCGCACGTAGGGCTCTCGCCCATGACGGGCAGCCCAAGCTGCGTTGAGGCACGAGGCAGGGCCAATCAGTCGCAGGCCCACAGCCTCGCAGAGCGGCCGACATTACCCATCATGCGCCGAGCAGAGACGGCACTGCAGGCTGCGCCGCACGTGGGTCCGCAAGACCCCGCCCCTGTCTGCAAGCATGTGGCACCTCACACATGGCACCGCAGGGGCATACAGGCAACCCTGCCAGGGCTCGCCGCTACGCTGGCAGCGAGGATGCAGCCCCTCGGGGGGCCGAACACTCAACCCTGGCAGGGCTCGAGACTGACAGCGTGGACCCAGCAGGGGTCAGCGGCAGAGACGGCAGCCATGAAGGATGTGAAGGGATGCGAGTGACCACTGCAGGGATCAGGAGCGCAAACGGGGCGTCCACAGTGGAACTCGAACTCAATCCAGGGAAGTGGGAAGGGACGGGAAGTGCTGGGGGGACCATCCTTCGGCCCGAGAGCGCAAGCATCGTCCATCTTGCACGCGAACACCAGGTCCGTGTCGCCCTTCCCTGACAGAAGGAGGGGACGGGCGACGAGGATCCAATTACCCAGCCGAGGCCCTCCCGATCCCCAACTGCCGGGGGTGGCATGGGCGCGGAGCTGTGCCCCCCCCGCGGGCAAGTCGCCTGCAGCTCGTATTCGTCTGCTGCCTAGACTGCCTTTGACGCGTCCATGAGCGATCCTCAAGCCCCGAAGGGAAAGCGTCCAGTGGGCGGCGCGAAGGGGGAGGAGGGGGGGGAGCTCTCGCACCCCCAGGAGCGATCCTTAAGCCCCGAAGGGAAAGTGTCCAGTGGGCGGCGCGAAGAGGGAGGGGGGGGAGCCCTCGCACCCCCAGGGCGCACCTCGGCCCGTCCACGGCGCGCGGCAGGCCCTTCGAGCTTCCAGCGTGCGGCTCGGAGAGCCCGGGTTGACGAAGTGTGCTGCGGAAAGCTGCTCTCCCGTGCGGGAACGTTGGGGAAGTCGCGAGGGGGACCCCGCGGGCTCCGTCGGCTTTCTGGGGAAGAAACGAGACATTGGAAGGCTGGCGGGGCAGTTGGGCGCGCCGCTAGCCAGTTTCGCTGGGGAGGCGCTGGAGCCTGTCGGCATCTTTTTCTGTTCGTGCAGCTCTAGCTCTGCTCGGAGCTCCGCCGGGGCCGTTGGGAGGCCGACCGGGCGCGTGCCTGGTCAGTGCTGCGCGCGAGAGGGAGGAGGCGCAGCCCTCCTGGGTGCGTCGCCTGGAGGCGGGCGAGCTCAACCTCGCCAGCCCCGTCGTTCGCCTGGCGCTCCGCGGAGCGCTCCGACCAGAGTCGCTCGCGCCTGGTCTTGGTGGGGTGCGGCGCTCGCTCCAGGGGGCGGGCGGGGGAGGGGAGGGGGAGTGAGAGGAGCGGGGGAGGAGGGGGACGAGGAGGAGGGAGGAGCCAAGTGAGGAGGAAGGAAAAGAGTCAAGTGAGGAGGAGGAGGAGGAGGAGAAAGAGGAGGAGGAGGAGGAGGAGGAGGAGGAGGAGGAGGAGGAGGAGCCAGGCCGGGAAGTGGATAAGCGGGGCGACGAGGGGGAGAGAGGAGAGGGTGTCGTTTGACACCGAAGCCCCGCAGTCGCGGACAACGTTTGGAACGTGGTCCATTTCAGATATGCCCTGGACACTCTTTTAGCGTTTTGATTTCGGCGTCTTGGAAATCATGGTTGGGCGTTGTCAGGTCTCAGCAAGAACACCGAAAACTCTAAACACAACGCATTATTGGTTTAGCGTGTTCAGGTCCGTTGATTTCCATCGTCGGCGCCCGCCGCGGACGGGCCGTGGGCTTCCGGGCCTGTTTTGCACTGGTGTCGGACCGGTGGCAGAGCGTTTTTGTCGACGTGTTCAGCCCTTCGCGCAAACGACAGTTTCAGCCCCCGCCCCAGCCATGGGTGTTACGAAACAGAACATGGTAACCAAACGATTGGAAGCACGATTAACAACGAAGCGTTGTCGGTAGCGTTTTCACCCTGTCAAGAGCCCATAGTCGAACACGCAAACAAACAAAGACGCCCAGGGCGTTCTTATGATGAGCCAAGTCGAACAAGAGTAAGAGGCGCCCAGACGGCCTTGCTGTTGCACAGCATCCAACGAGGGGATCGCACTGCGGATGGGTCGCGGAGCGATGTGTCGCGTGTTGCGTCGGTGTGACGATCTCCACCAGGGCTTTTTTTACAAACCAAAGCTCTCTCTATCTCTATATATATATATATACACATAGAACAGTCGCGGAACAGGTCGCGGGCGGGTCGCAGGAAAGGTCGTGGGTGGGTTGGGAGTGGGGTTGCGCCGACAACAACATCGACAAGAACACTATCAAGCGTCGTCACCGTGAACCCCCACTCCAGCCACGCACTCAGTGTCAGTGTAAGACCGCTCGGTTCTTTCAGTCTGATACTTATGTGTTTCATATATATATATGTGTATCTCAATGCATAGTGTTCTCTTTTGTTTCTTTATTTCTTTCTTTCTCTGTCTCTATCTCTTTCTCACCCTCTCCCTCTCTCTCTATATTCCTGTCTCTCTATCTCTCTCTCCACCGTTTTGTCCTCTCTTACGGGGGGTGCGGATTCTACATTGCGAATTGGGCCAACATTCTTGTGCGATGCCGGGCATCCTCCCAAGTTCCTTGTCCTCTCTCCTCATCCTTCTTTTCGTCCTCCTTCCTCCTCCCCCTAACCGCCCTTCTCCCTCCCCCTCGCTCGTACTCCTTGAAATTCTTTCTCCAACCCAGAACATTCGACCTGAACCTTCCTTCCTCCCCCGCATCTGCTTCGCTGGAAGCCTGCAGACGCCACCGAAAGCCAACGACGATGTCCAACAACACCTCAGCCTCTTTCCTGCTTCCTACATCGTAGTTGTCGTCCTCGTTCCTACTACGCTGCATGGGGTAACTCAGCGGCCTGCCTCGCGGTACACTGAACAGTGCCACTGGCAGTGTACTACGCCACGGTCGTTACCTTTTGCCATTGCACCTCTGGCGTTCCGATTTGATTTGCGCTCTCTCTCTCTCTCTCTCCCCCTCCTGCTTCTCCAGCGTCTCCGCTTCCCGCTCCCTCCCCTCTCCCCCTCCTCCTCCTCCTCCTTCTCCTCCTCCTCCTCCTCCTCCTCCTCCTCCTCCTCCTCCTCCTCCATTCCATGTCCTTATAAACAACTTCCCCCTGTCGCACCCCGAGGCTAGTTTTTAGGGCGGGCCGGGCGTTTCGCCTGAGACTTCCTTACTACTCATGACCCTGAAGCTTCAACATTCGCAACAGCTTTACAGACGGAGGGCGGGTCGTTTCCACAATGTGGCTCTCGCCTCAGCGCCGCGCGCATTCGTTTCACACACTTGCAAGAGTTTCACGGATAGAGGGCGACTCGTTTTCAACATGTTGTTTCCGCTTTAGCGCCGCGCACATTTGTTAATAAAGCTTGCAAGAGTTTCACGGCTTCCCATGATCGAAGTACCAGAAACGGTGTCTAGGAAGGCTTCAGATCTGTGAGGGTGCAACAGTTACGTTCACTCGCGGTGTTGAAGTCCCAAGAATGGCTTTCTGGCACGATTCAGGATCGTCAAAACGCAACAGTCAGGTTGATCCGAGGCGTTAGAATCCCGAGAACAATGTTTTGGCATGCTTCAGGATCTTCAAACGGTTGTCTTCCAACGAGGCAGTTCCCTCAATGGACATGAACCGTTGTATGGGGCCTATGAAGATGGAGCTTGGAGGGAGGGTTTATTCCAACATCGTTGATGCTTCTTGGGTTTACACTGGTCCTCCTCCTCCTCCTCCTCCTCCTCCTCGTGCTCCTCCTCCTCCTCCTCCTCCTCCTCCTCCTCATGCTCCTCCTCCTCCTCCTCCTCGAGGAGCTGGACCGTGACCTGTGCAGGCCGCCAATCCGCGCCTACATGGAGAAGCAGTGCGCCCAGATCGCCGACGGCGTGCTGGAGAAGGCGGAGGCCCGGCGCCGCCGAACCCTCGGACACCTCGACCGGTCGTCGTCGATCGGTCGTCGGTCATCGGTCGTCGATCTGCGGACGCCGGTCGTCGGTCGTCGGTCGTCGGTCGCCGGTCTTCGGTCGCCGATCTTCGGTCGCCCGCCGTCGGTGGTCGGGCGCTGGTCGTCGGTCGTCGATGGTGGGTCGTCGATGGTAGGTCGTCGATCGTCGGACGTCGATCTTCGATCGTCGTCGTCCTCGTCGTTAGTCAGTCTTCGGTCGTCGATCGTCCGTCGTCGTCGTTGCCGCCGTCGGCCTTCCTGTCCACCAGATCGTTCGAGGTTTGGGGATCGAGGGTCGAGTTCGTCGTTTGTCAGTGGCCGTTCTCGGCCCTTCCTCGTGCTCGGGAGGCGTCCTGGGGGACGAGGAGGAGGATGGGCAGGAGGAGGTGGGGGAGACGGAGGCTCACTTGGCCTCTGTGCGACGCCTTGTGGCCACGGCTGGGCACAGCTCGAGCAACTGGCCAGGAGGGCCTCTGGGAGGGGTTTGCGGCCCGACTGTGAGCCTGGGGGAGGCGGGCCTCCCTCCCCCCCTCGCTCTGTGCCTCCCGGACGGCCCTCACCGCCACGGCTGGACTCGCCTGGAAAAGGCTGGCCAGAACGCGCCCAGGACAGCTCCCGGGTGGCGGTCTTGAGGGGTGAGCTGGTGACAAGCCCGTGAAGAAGTATAGCAAGGCCCAGTAGTCTAGATTTTTTCCCAACCATCCTGTGGTGTTGGGTCCTCGTTTTGAAGAGACGGTGCCCCGCGTCTCCTTCCTCCTTCCTCCTCCTCTCCTCCGCCGTCCGCATGCGTCCCGCACACCCATTTCGGCACACCCCTCACACGTTTCGTGGCCCCACAGGGAGCTCCACCGAAGGCCCCAGTGCTGCCGTCCGCATGCGTCCCGCACACCCATTTCGGCACACCCCTCACACGTTTCGTGGCCCCACAGGGAGCTCCACCGAAGGCCCCAGTGCTGCCGTCCGCATGCGTCCCGCACACCCATTTCGGCACACCCCTCACACGTTTCGTGGCCCCACAGGGAGCTCCACCGAAGGCCCCAGTGCTGCCGTCCGCATGCGTCCCGCACACCCATTTCGGCACACCCCTCACACGTTTCGTGGCCCCATAGGGAGCTCCACCGAAGGCCCCATGCTGCCGTCCGCATGCGTCCCGCACACCCATTTCGGCACACCCCTCACACGTTTCGTGGCCCCACAGGGAGCTCCACCGAAGGCCCCAGTGCCGTCCGCATGCGTCCCGCACGCACATTTCGGCACACCCCTCACACGTTTCGTGGCCCCACAGGGAGCTCCACCGAAGGCCCCAGGCTGCCGTCCGCATGCGTCCCGCACACCCATTTCGGCACACCCCTCACACGTTTCGTGGCCCCATAGGGAGCTCCACCGAAGGCCCCATGCTGCCGTCCGCATGCGTCCCGCACACCCATTTCGGCACACCCCTCACACGTTTCGTGGCCCCACAGGGAGCTCCACCGAAGGCCCCAGTGCTGCCGTCCGCATGCGTCCCGCACACCCATTTCGGCACACCCCTCACACGTTTCGTGGCCCCAAGGAGCTCCACCGAAGCCCCCAGTGCCATGCGTCCCGCACACCCCATTTCGCACACCCCTCACACCTTTCGCGGCCCCAGGGCTCCACCGAAGGCCCCATGGCTGCCGTCCGCGCGTCCCGCACACCCATTTCGGCACACCCCTCACACGTTTCGTGGCCCCATAGGGAGCTCCACCGAAGGCCCCATGGCTGCCGTCCGCATGCGTCCCGCACACCCATTTCGGCACACCCCTCACACGTTTCGTGGCCCCACAGGGAGCTCCACCGAAGGCCCCAGTGCTGCCGTCCGCATGCGTCCCGCACACCCATTTCGGCACACCCCTCACACGTTTCGTGGCCCCATAGGGAGCTCCACCGAAGGCCCCATGGCTGCCGTCCGCATGCGTCCCGCACACCCATTTCGGCACACCCCTCACACGTTTCGTGGCCCCACAGGGAGCTCCACCGAAGGCCCCAGTGCTGCCGTCCGCATGCGTCCCGCACACCCACACCTTCACACGTTTCGTGGCCCCATAGGGAGCTCCACCGAAGGCCCCATGCTGCCGTCCGCATGCGTCCCGCACACCCATTTCGGCACACCCCTCACACGTTTCGTGGCCCCACAGGGAGTCCACCGAAGGCCCAGTGCTGCCGTCCGCATGCGTCCCGCACACCCATTTCGGCACACCCCTCACACGTTTCGTGGCCCCATAGGGAGCTCCACCGAAGGCCCCATGGCTGCCGTCCGCATGCGTCCCGCACACCCATTTCGGCACACCCCTCACACGTTTCGTGGCCCCACAGGGAGCTCCACCGAAGGCCCCAGTGCTGCCGTCCGCATGCGTCCCGCACACCCATTTCGGCACACCCCTCACACGTTTCGTGGCCCCATAGGGAGCTCCACCGAAGGCCCCATGGCTGCCGTCCGCATGCGTCCCGCACACCCATTTCGGCACACCCCTCACACGTTTCGTGGCCCCACAGGGAGCTCCACCGAAGGCCCCAGTGCTGCCGTCCGCATGCGTCCCGCACACCCATTTCGGCACACCCCTCACACGTTTCGTGGCCCCATAGGGAGCTCCACCGAAGGCCCCATGGCTGCCGTCCGCATGCGTCCCGCACACCCATTTCGGCACACCCCTCACACGTTTCGTGGCCCCACAGGGAGCTCCACCGAAGGCCCCAGTGCTGCCGTCCGCATGCGTCCCGCACACCAGGTGTGTGGCGTGCCGACATGGGCGTCGCGGCGCGCGGGCGCTGCCGTCGGGGTTCCCAGGGAAGCCCCCTGCAGAGGCGACGCTCAGAGTCACGAGTACCGAGAGTCACGCAGACCCAAACTGTTCACAGTCGTATACATACATTTACACTGGGCGTATCCATGCACGCATTCATGCGAATAGAATCAATCGCGCGCAGATTCATTCATAATCAGACTCGCTCGCGATCCGACTCGCACGCGCTCAAGCTTTCATATTCGGACCTATCGTCTTCGTTCGTGTTGTGTACACTGCCACGCATTTCGGCACACCCCTCATACGGCTCGTGGCCCCATAGGGAGCGCCACCGAAGAAGATACTCACAATTGCGGTACTCTCAACTGCATATGGTTGGGTCCTTCGCCAGGCTAATTTTCGAGGGTATTGCACGGTACTCCCGCAAAATAAGTAAACCTGGATTTCCGTGTTTGTGACTGGTCTCTGTTTGAGAAGCGCAGAAATTCTTTGGTTCTGGGCTCCGGTGAATCTTGTCCCGGGTCAACCCAAATGCCCATACCGCCAGGCGACGCAAACAAAGAAAACATTGGCAGTTCCGATTGCCAGTCGGGGCTTCGTGGCCGTCGTCGGGCCCGAGGTCATCAAGCGGGCCGGGTCCCTGGACCGCGCCCCCGCGGATACGGGGCGTTTTTTTCGCAAATGCGACGCGCGAGACGTATCCGTGCGACCGTCTCCGCAGCACCGCGCTCCAGAAGTCAAGTTAACGGCGCCTTGTCTAGCCAGCGCGGGGGCTGAGAACGCTTTGTCGCAGCGCTGGTTCTGGGTCGAGTAGCAAACATGAGGCGGAGCCTAGCGAGCTCCAATGTGCGAGATGATAGCGGACCATCCGTATGTACGCGTACATCGTTCCATGGAGATAAATCGTTACGTGCTGCCTGTTTTGCCAGGGAGCTTACGAGGTTGTCAGGTCGAGCGGCGTTTACCTTGAACAGGTTGGCTACGATTTCGAACTCCGATTCGTTTTCTAGGATCCGGCCACCTCCTGCATGGATGCGCAGTTATCTCGTGTCGGCAGGTCACCCAGCAGAATTTGGACCTCTTCCACGACAAGTTCCTCAAGTTCAGGGACCGGATATGGAATCTGGAGCGGTTCTTCGTGCGGAAGGAGCCGTGTGTCCTGGCCTCCTTTTCGCCTCACAGTCTTCTCCCCCCGACAGCTGGGAAGTGGAGGACTCTGAAGAGGAATCGTCCCAGGAGTGCGGCAGTGTGACGAGGGGGAGGATGAGGAGCCAGCCTATGTCGCCGATGGAGACAATGAGCGCCGAGGAGAGGGCAGGATGCCATGTAACAGATTGGAAGGGGGGGGGCCTGGGGCCGGGCCTCAGCCCGATCCTGAGGGGCGCAGAGGTAGCGTTAAGTCGGGCCTGTCCCTCTACAGGAGGAATATTCCAAACTAGTGAAACAATAATCTGGAGACGATTTGTCCTCCAAAATCCGCCTGTAGGAGGACATGCCCGACTTAAAGGTAGCGGACACGGGTGCCCATCTCAAGGGCCCATCTCCTGATCTCCTATCGGTGCCCCCGTCCTCCTGTGAAGTACACTGGTGTGTAGAGGCAGGGTACCATGGTGTAGATAAGATGTTCGGCTGTCGCCTAAAGTCAGGGGAGCTCTTCGTCCCCAGGTCGCGTTTAAGGGCCCCTCGGCTGCTGTGTCCTCACTTGGGGGAACAGCCTTCCTCCTGCGAGAGACACTTGCGGTCATAGTGCTTCATATAGCGAGGAGAGGGTCATCCAATACAAGGCTTCACTGTGTGATGCGCCTGGTCGGACACCAGGAAGCGCACGCCGACAGCCACTCTCAGGACTGACGTATCGATCTTTGCGGGTACCTGCCTCCGGCACTGCCCGGCGTTTCTGGTCAACACACGCGTGAGATTCTTTTCTGGACGTGCGCTGGTTTGTCGATCTCCACAGGCGTTCACCTTCCTTTCCGTCATTTCCTCGTCTTTCTCCCCCTCCTACGTTAGCCAGTGCTTATTCATTTCTCTGGACCTGACCGTCGTGATAAGTGGCGGGTGTTGGTGGCAGCCATTCTTGGCGACCACGCTGCGCACTCTCCCTCCTCTTCCTCGTTCTCCTTCTTTCTCGTTCCTGCTCAGACTCACGATTTCAATGCCAATGCGATTGAATTCGTAGGGTCGGTTGAGGTATAAGATGCGCGTGGGTTGTCGGAAGTTGTGCTTTGGGGGGAAAGTCATGTCGGATCCATCAGCAGTGAGATGGGTTAGAGTTTTACTTCAAGCGTCAATGCTCCCACGCAAGCCCCAGACAGAACCCCTGAACGCTCAAGCTTGCACATGTCACGCTTTCCATCCGATGACCACCCCCTCGACGTCCCAAAAGGTGCTCCTTTACATCGTGCCCTCCTCGAAGCATGAGGGCCCTCCTCTCCAGCAAACTTCCCTTTGGAGCAGGGCCTCAACACAAGCAGAACCGTCCGAAGCCATCCACTGGGCGAAGGGCTGCAGCGTGTCAGGTCTTTCGGGCATGCGCGTGCTAGCCTTGACCTCGCGCCTCCTCTCCCAGCATCCCCCTGGTGGTACAGTGGAGAACCATGCCAAGAAACACCCTGCTCGCCTCCGTGGTGCCCTGCGTTTCTTGGGTTTTGATGTTTTTGCTGTGGTAAGCGTGACGTTTCCACGCCAAAAATCCATGGACGTCCTGGAGTTCCAGAGTTGGGTTTCTTGTGGAAGGTTTCTTGTGGTCGGGCCTCCACTGTAGCCGCCGTTCGTGACTGGCCCTGCGCTGTTGGCTCGCCGCCGCTGCTGACTCCCTCCTCCAGTCGCCTGGGTTTAATTGAAGTTCGCATGCTGATAGCTCGCATCGGGTCTGAGGCTCTTCAAGCTCACGTGGCTCCAAGGTATCGTGCACTTCGATTTCTTTCTGCGGGGTGCCTCTTGCTGATCGAATGTGCCGGAAGAGCTGAAAGCGACCTCCATACCCGCCGCCAGTTGTGCAACGGCGCGTGACGAAAGTGCCAGCCTTGGCTTGCGAAGTGGTCGACTTTGCTATGCGACAACGCGGCGGCCCTCAACAGCAGCTGGTCGAGCCAGCAGCCCTGGCTCACGTGGAGAGACAGGCAATGGGCCTTCCGGGGCGCTCTTCCTATGGATGTCCTAGGGAATCCTATAGCATTCCTAAGCATCGCGATTGATTTAATTACAGAATCCGATGGATGTCCTAAGGAATCCTTTGGATGTCCCAAGTAGAACAAGAACCAGCCTGCCAGCGGGTGCTCCACAGAGACTTATGGCTCCCTGACGGCTCCTATATTAGGTATCCAATCGGGTCCTGGGGCGCCCCAGGGGGTTCGAGGAGATGTGCGGCAGTGCGTGCCTTCATTTCTCGAGGTGAACCTTCTCATCACATGCCTAAGGCGCGTTTTTTTCCCATTTATCGAGGTAAGTAGGTCGATTTTTTCATTTCTCGAGGTAAGTTTTCTCGTGGCGCCACATCCGTGGCTCTTATCAGCCTTGGCCCCCAGCGTCGTGTTTTTTCGTTGACATGCTCGCCCCCCTGGAGCTATTTCGGCCCCATCCCCGTAGCCGAGACGTCCGCGCGGACGGTGTCTGCTGTCGTGTGCAAGGGCGGTCGCTGGAAGCCAGAACTTGTCAAAAGATGCCTGCTCCGGAGCCTGGAGGAGGTGGCCAATGCAAGCTGGGGTCAGCCCGAGCGCCGGATCTTGCAGGATCCTGCGGAGCCAGAGTTGCATTGACCCAGGCTAGCGAGCAGGATCCTGGAGGATTTTCCAGGATCCTGCAAAGCCTGACGGACCAAGGTTTGCATTGACTTGGGTCAGTAGCAGCCCGACCTGCTGCAGTTTTGTTGCGCTTCGCTGGAGGTAAATGCCCTCCCCGCAGCAGCATAGGGTCCCCAGACCTTCAGAGGAGGAAGAGGTGCTGAGACTGTAACCCTTGCCTCGTCTTCCCGTTTTTGGGCCTCCTGGGAGGCCCTCGTCGCCACCGCCGGATTCGTTTTGAAATTTTGGTCAGAGCGCCACCCGGGAGAGGTCCGAGGAGTAGCGGCATCGGTATCTTCGTGCTTCCACAGGCCCGCCCGGGAGAACGCACCGAGCAGGATTTCCGAGAAACGCCCGACCGTGGGAGCGAGGGCCTGCCAGGGGGGCCTGCCTGGAGCGGAGCCACGCTTTCCCCACATCCGGCGATGTGAAGTCACGGCCGCGTGGCATGCTAGGGGCTATTCGGACTCACCCCCTATCGCGGATGGATTCCTCCCCATGGTTTATCCGCAAGTTCGGTCCCACAACAATAGTGCAGTCGAAGCTCACACGTGGAGAACCCTGGAGGCTTCTAGAGGCCTCCCAAAAGTTCCAAAAAGGGTCCAGACACCTTGGTCCTCGAAGCTCGGCCCACCCGGCGGACGGTGGCGCGGACAACGACGACGACGACAACGACGACAACGACGACGACGACGACGACGACGACGACGACGACGACGACGACGACGACCACGACCACGACCACGACCACGACCATGACCACGACCACGACCACGACCACGACCACGACCACGACGACGACCACGACGACGACCACGACGACAACGACAACGATTACGACGACGACGACGACGACCTCCAGGAGCAGCAGTGGGACGCCAGCGGCACGGCCTGGGCCGCGCCGGCCGCCGCGAAGGGCGCCGGGGGCGGGAAGGCCAACAAGGCCTCGCGGCCGAGCCCGCAGCGAGCAGGGGCAGCAGCAGCGGGCATCGGCGGCAGCGGCGGTGGCAGCACCGGCAGCGGCAGTCAGCCCCACCCAGCGGCGGCGAGTGGCAGCAAGCAGGCGGCAGCAGTCCAGCAGTGGCGAAGCGTCGCGGCCTGCCTGTCTAGGCCCCCCAGAGAATGTTATCATAGCCTTCTGTGGTTTGCGCAATGTGTTCATATAGCATTCCTGGCTGAGACCACGTCAGCTTAATGTTTTAGGAACTTTGTTGGCGTTCTCAGAACATTCTTCTGTTCGAAGAGAATTGCGTGGTAGACTTATAGGACTGCCCGGATGGTCGGTCCCTGTTCAAAGCAAGCAGGCGGCAGCAAGCGATCCAGAGAGGAGGAAGACGGATAGTGAGAAGGTTGGGTTAAGAGGATGGGTTCCTCACTCGCACACCTGGCCTTCTCCTTTTTCTCCTTCTCTTCCGGCCCCCTGCTCCTCCTGATCCTGCTCCTCACTGCTGCCTCCTCGCCTCCTCTCCCCCCTCCTCACCCCCTGCCCCATCCTTCCCCATCGCTCCTTCCTCCCTGCCCTCATGCCTCCTGCACTTTCCCATTTTCGCAGTGTGAAGTTACCCCTGTCTCTCCTTCCTGCCTCACTTCCTCCTGCCTCCTCCACCCCCTCTTCTCCCCTTCTCCTCCCCTCTCTCTCCGCCCCTTCTTCTCATAAGTTGTTCCCCCTTGTCCCACCACCAGACCTGTCCGTAGGCCGGTCGGGGCGTTTCGCTGGACGAAGCTACACTACAGCAAAGCATGCTTCAACAGGTGAGCAGAAGACCGGTGCGTTCCAACATGCGGCTCGCCTTGTCGTTTTGCGCCGCGCACACATGTTATTCTCAACGCTTCCAACAGCTACCAGGGTGGAGGGCTGGTGGGTTTCAATCTGTAGTTCTCGCTTTCGCCACATGCGCATTTTGCTTCAACTTTCCCAACAGCTGCAGGGCTGGAAGGATATGGGTTTTCAGACTTCAGCTCTCGTCTCAGTGCTGTGGATATTAGTTGTACCGTTTCCAGCGGCTACAACCTGGAGGCCGGCTCGTTTTCAATTGGCGGCTATCGCCTTAGCGCCGCGCGCATATGTTTATAACATTATTGCGGCTACACGGATGGAGGCTGGCTCGCTCAAAGAATGCGGCTCTCGCCCAAGCACCGCGCACATTAGTTTAAACGTTTCGGGCGGCTACAAAGGTGGAACCAGCTCGTCCTCTCATTTTAGCTCCGTGCACGCTCGTCTTTCAAGTTTTGTGCGCACACTCCCTCAGAACTCGTCACCACTAACGGTGATACGACCACAACGTGCAATTTCCCTCTACGCACGATGATGCGGACTGCCCCTGAATCTGGTTTGATATTTCTCGTCATCCTTGAAGCTTGAAGGATGTGGGACGGGCTTGAAGGATGGGCCTGAAGGATACACGGTGGGCTTGACGGCTGTAGGATGGGCTTGAAAGGGCTGCCTTCCTGACAGCTTGAGGGATGGAGGCCGGGCCCCCTGCACAGGCCTGGGGGGCTCGCCCGAGTGGCAGGGCCACGAGCGCCCGCCATTCGAGGGGGGCGCTTCCCGCAGGGGAGAGGTCTGCTTAATTACGAGGGCTTCTGCTGCGGGGACTTGGAGGCGGGAGGGTTCCTTGCAGCATCGTTAATGCATCCTCGGCTTGCGTTGGTCCTTCCCCTCGTCCTCCTCGTCCTCATCCTCTCTCTCGCGATACTAGATTCTCTTCTCCCTCTCCTCCTTCTTCCTGCCCCTTCTCCTTGCCCACTGGGAGGTGGGAGAGGAGAAGGAGTCGGGAGGGCGAGGAGGAGAGTGAGGGGGGAGTTCCCCTCCCTCCCTGTTCACCGCGGCCGAGTTGCAGCCAGACGCCTGGCACGACGCGCAGGACGCCAACGCACGCAGGCCAAGACGGGCCCACGGATACCGCTCGGTGCGGGTCGCTCTCCCATGATTCACCGAGCGCGTTCCACGACTCGCAAAGCGCCTGCTCGCAAGCGTACGAAAACGCGTGTCTCCCTCGATGTAATGGATTGCGAATCCCCCGCGGCGGATCCAGGCCACTTGCGAGCAGTCACCCTGCGAGCATTGCAGCGCGCTTGCCCAGTGATGCCTGGCACCGCGCGCCGGTGGAGCGCCTCGGCGGTCGCGCACCCGTGCGGAGGAGCCTCCGGCTGCTCGCAGGCAGGGCAGCCAGCGCGGCAGCCAGCGACACCCCTCGGGGCCGGCGCCGTGCGCGCACTGCGTGTTCCGTGGGCAGCCACAGGGGGGGGCCCATGCCAAGAAGCACCCTGCGTGCCTCCAGAGTGCCCCGGGCGCCTTGGGTTTCGATGGTTCTGCCATGGAAGGCGTGATGTTCTCACACCCAAAACCGCCGGACGTCCAGGGGTCTCGGGGTTCGGTTTCTTGTGGAAGGTTTCTTGTGGTCGGGCTCCCACTGTAGCGCCCTCCGACGCGCCGCGTCCAGGCGCTGCACGTCCAGGGCGCCGGGCATGCGGCGGAGCGGGCGCCTGAGCTCCTGGACCAGCTGGACTCGGGGCTCAAGAGACGGGGGTCCATGCAAGCGGGGGCGGCCAGAGCGCCGGATCTTGCAGGATCCTGCAGGGCCAGGGTCGCATTGGGGTGCAGGACCCTGCAGGATCCTGCAGGATCCTTCGCATTGACTCGGGTTTGGGCGCAGGATCTTGCAGGATTCTGCAAGGCCTGACTGACCCGTGTCTGGACTGACCCGGATCAGAACATCCCCGATGGACGTCGCCATGGGTCCAATGAAGCCGAATAATCGTTATAAACATAAGTTTTTGGCGCTCCGCGCGGATTTCTTGGATCCGCGCTGGGGCACCCTCCCTGGCGGCGCCTCCGGCGCCGCCCCTGGCGCGCTCCGCGTGCCAGTGAGGGGGGTCCAGCGCAGACCCGAGAAATCCTCGCTGAGCGCCAACAGTTTGTGTGCTGTGCTGTTTTTTCTTCTTCGATGGAAGTCGCCATGGGGGAAACGGGTCTTGAGGTTTCGGGCTCCCGGGCCCTCAACGGGCCCCAGGAGTGCCGGAAACCTGCTCGGGGTGAAGGTCCCGTTCTGGGGGCAGGCACTGGGGTCCAGGATCCAGGACCCGTTTCCCTCAGGATCCGGTTCCCCCCATGCTAAACCAGCTGGAGGGCCTGCTGGACGCCACGATCCGCCGACGCGCTCTGGCAGAGATTCGGACCGCGGAGGGGAAGCTGCAGGCGAGCCACGCGGCCTCTGCGCGTGCACGCTGGCGCGGAAGCGTGGCGGGCGCCGTGCAGAGCGGAGGGCGGATTGCCCCCTGGAGGATCAAAAGGGGCCTCTGCCGCCTGCCGAGGCTTTGTTCGAGGCCGATTCGTGGCCCTGCCCGCTGCCAGTCCACGGGGCCGCAGCACTGAAAGGGTTGCTACAGGAGTGGCTGCCCATGTGGACCCGGCACGCGGCAGCCGAGCCGTGGGCATGGAGCTGCAGCGCCCTACTGCCGCCCATCACGCTGACTGAGGGCGGGCCTGGGCTGTGACAAGTTCCGCCCGCGCTGGATCGTCCTCCTGCCCTTGGAGTCGCAACAGGGCTTCGTGGACTTGGTCAACTATATACTTGGAAGCGCAGTCGGAGCAGACCGTCGCAATGGCCACCATGCTCGTCAACAGCATCGTGTCTCGGGGGAAGCCTGGCGGGGGCGTCATGCCGATCGGGCTGTCGTCACTGCTGTCCAAGGTCTACAGCTGGGTGCGGCAGCCCCTCTGCGGGGCTCGGGAGCAGGCTCATCCGCGCAGCTCACTTCTGGGGAGGCGGCGCCAAGTCCTGCGCGCGCGGGATGGGTACACAGCGTGCTCCAGAGCTACGCGCGGGCCCAGGGCATGTCGGCAGCCACCGCGTTGATCGGCATCCGCAAATTCAACGTGGAAGAGGAGCACTAGTTCTTCCTGCAGGCGCGGCGGGCGGAGGGCTTGCCCATGCGGGTGCTGCGGGCCCTGTGCACCATCTTCGTGGCTCCCATGGTGGTCATCTGGGACGGTGCCGTCTCGCGGGAGGTGCGCTCCACTGGAACGACCGTGGCTGGCTGCTCCGGCGCGACCTATCTAGCAAAACTCCTACTCATGAAGCCCTCCGGGATACCATGGTCGGCATGCCCTGCGTAGTCATTGGCAACGCCGTTTACAACATCGCCATCCAGGGGATCGGGACGGAAGGAAGGGTGGCTGCGCAGCTCGGCAGCTTGACCACGGATGTCATTGACAGTCTTGCAGCGCTGCAGTTTCCGATGCGCGAGAAGAAGATCGCGTACCTCGTCTCGGACGCGGGGGTTGAGGCAGCACTCGCGCCGCGCGGGGCGCTTGGTCCTAATACCAAGGTGCAACACGCTCGGAACCTCGGGACCGACGCCAACGACGGGAGCCGCCGCCGAGCGGCAGGCAGCGGCAGGCAGGCAGCGGCGCCGGCGCAGGCAGTCCGTTCATGAGTTTTCGCAGTGCGGGCGGGGCTGTCTATGGCATCCGGCGCGGTGGGCCCACCGCGAAAGCCACGTGGGGCACCACGGTGACGGGGCCAGCTCCCACAGTTTTGCACCCGCTCCGGGTGCATGTTCTACGCAGCTTTGGACTATTGGCCAGGGGTGCTCGGACTGCTGCTCGCCTAGTTCGGGAGCCTCCCGAGCATGCATCCGCTGGCCATCAACGCAGGAGCTATGGCGCAGCAGTGGGCTCGCGCTGTCTGGAAGGGCCTGCCGCCGCGCGGAGTCCTCTGGGCGTGCTTGGCAGACGCCGTGGCACGCCTGGGCCGCCTCCAGCGTCTGTGGCCGCAGGCCATCTCCTCCGCGGACTTGGTGCTGCTGACGCTGAGGCGGTGCGGCTGGCGCTTCGAGGACGAGGCCGTGGTTATTACCAACGCTTGCGCCCGATTGGACTTGATACGTGCGGCCTCTGGCTTGGTTGCCCGTCTCGCCCAAAACGCCGCCTGGCGCGCTTCCGACTCCACGGCGTCGGCGTGCGAGGCCAAGGAGGTGCGTGGCGACCTCCGCTGGGTGCAGCCGCTCAGCTGGCTAGCCCTGCGGCCGTTGCTGTGGGGCTCGGCGGGCAACTGGACGAAGAGGCAGCAGAACTCCCTCTGGGCCCTCGTGGGCACCACGCACTGGTGCCAGGAGCGGCTGCAGCGGCATGGACTCGCAGCGTGTGGGCTGTGCAAGCCCTGCGGGGCTAAGGTGGGCACAATCTTCCACAGGGTATACGATTGCGACGCCCATGCCAGCCGGAGGCGGACCTCTGCCTCTCCGCTCCTGGTGGCGAGGGCGCGGCGGGAGCTGCGCGAGGGGGCCGTGGTTGCTGAGGGATTTGCCCGCGGGGTTTTCCCCGCCTCGCAGCACCTCTGGCGCGAGATCGGCTACCAGGAGTTCGAGACCTATTCGCGTAATCGGCCTGCCTCGGGGAACTTTGAGGGCATGCTGTTCACCGGCGGCCCCGCCTTCGCCAGGCGCCTCTCGGGCATCGGCCGGGCTGGGTGGGCAGTCGTGCAGTGCAACCGCTGGGGAGTGCCTGAAGCAGCGGCGCACGGGGCAGTGCCTCTGGGGATGTGCCCCAGGCAGCTCAGCCGCAACTGCCAGGATTTCACGATCTTCGCACTCGCGCGCGTGGCTTTTGGGCGCCTCGACCTCTTCGTCGACTGCGCTGGGACCGTGTCCGCCCTCCGGCACGAGCCAGGGGTCCCCAGGCGACGAGCGCGCGCACCCTTGGGCCATTCTGGAGCTCGTTTGGGCTCGGCGACATCACAGTCACCAGAGTCCTGGCCCACGCCACGCGTGCAGACGTCCACGCTGGGAGGACCACGCATGACCACGAATTGGGAGCGCGCGGGCAATGCGGCCGCGGATGTGTGGGCCAAGCGCGGGGCAGCCTGTCACGGCATGCCAGCCGAGCGCCATCTTAGTCGATGCGGGCACGAAGCATTGCGGCAACCTAGAAGCCCAGCCGCAAGGGCAGGAGGAGCAGCAGAAGGAACAGCAGCCGAATGATACCGCTGACGCCCCTGGCTCTACAGACGGTGCCGCCAGATTGGGGGCTAATTACGCTGCCCGCGACCGGCGATCGCCGAGGGGCAGCTGGCGTGCATGCGGCGCCCTCGCACTTGTTCCAGGCTGCCGAGGCCACAGGACACCGCCAGTACAGCACTTGGTGCTCTCCCGGCTACGTGAGCCCACTGGGGACCCCGCAGCCTGCCTTGGGGCAGCTGCAGGCCTGGCCTCAGCGGCAGGTCGTGCAGGCAGGCAGGCAGGCAGCGCGACGCCCAGGTGCAGGCTGACCAGGACCGATGTCCCAGCTGCGCACGGCCTCGACGAGGAGGACATCGAGGGCGCTCTCGTCCACTGGCGATTGCGGCGGCGGACCCGCGACGCAGACGAAGACATGTCCGAGGGCTCTGGCGGGGAGTAGCCCTCGCTGGGGAGTGAGCAGCTGCGCTGGGGCCGGCTGCTGTGAGTTTGCAGCGGGGGGCCGCCACTCGCATTCTCTCTGCGAGCTCCTTGTGGACTTCCATTATATTCCATTCCTCTTAACCGACCATCGGCCCGAGGCATACCTAAGCGTGGCGTCGTGTATTGCGCCTCTACGCGGCGCTTGAGGGACATCGTGACTGGTCGGCGCGTCTTGCTTGGGCGACCGTGTCGCGGTGACGAAGCAAGGTCAAGAGTCAGGCTGTCTTCGCGTTCGTAAAGTATTCAACTATCGTGCTTGTTTTTTGATTTCATTTCCTTGGCGGTCGTCTTCGTCACGGTCACCAGATATCAGGTCGTAGAAGGATCCGCGGGAGGCAAATTCAAGCCCAAGCACGTCCTCCCTGCCGCCTGGGCGTACTTCGGCGTGCTGGCTGGGTGGGAGCTTGGCATCTTCACGTGATGCTGTTTGATAGTGGGCAGTATTGTGGAAGTTCTGGTCGCATTCGTATCCGTAACTATTCGTGATTACTTTCGCGTGTTATTGTTTGTGCGTGGTCAGCCTTGTGAAAAGTTTGGTGATCGGCGTGGTGCCGCTCTGCATTTCCCATCGCCTTGGCCCAAGTACGAATAGTGATGTGCTTGAAATCAGTTGTGCATGCATGGGCGGTATGGGCGGTATTGTGCTGGAGTCGCTCACAGTGTACGTGGGACACGTCCCCTGCTTCGACGCGGTCTTCATGTTCTGACTGTCGCCTCGCATTCAGGATACAAGCTGCATGTGAGGGTATCAGTTCAAGCTGCATGTGAGGGGTTCAGTTCGTCGTCACCTTCCTCCTTATCCCTGCGTCCCCGGAGAAGCTCAAAGGGCGATTCAGGTTTGTTATCGACTCACTTGAGGTTTTGATTAGATTCCCCATCAGCCGTCCCCCTCCCTTCCCATCCCGCTCCCCACTTTGTCCCTCCCTCCCTCGCCTTCTCCTCCGTCGGCGACGGCGACGCTGCCGGCGAACGACGCTGGCAGCAATGGCGCCTGCGACCTCCTGCCGCGAGGCCTGGGGAGCTGCTCCCCAGCACGGCAAAGGCGCCGCGGCGAGGGAGGGCATTGCAAATCCGCCGCAGAACCGTTGTCGCAGTCGACGTCGTCGCCGTCGGAGAAGGGAAGGGAGGTACGAGGCGCCGTTGGTGGAAGAATCGTGGGAGAAACGGGTCCCGGAGGGTTTTCGCTGTTCTCGGCCTCCGCGGGGCCCTCCCAGGGCACGGGGACCGTCGAGAAGCGACACGGGAAGAGGAGGTGGTCCTTGCGATGGCCATGGCTGGCGTGTCCGACTTTGGCACTGGGTGGCGGGTGCTCCAATCATCTGAGAGCCTGGCTTGGCTTGGCCACTTAGCTCACGTATTTCCTGGATGCTGGTTGAGCGAAGCATGGTTTAGCAAACGCTCGAGTTCCACAATCGTTTCTTATGGCGTGAATTGCGGCATGTGCGTACGATGGGACATATTGCTGCAACAAGTCTTGCGCGCATGTTTGTCGACATTAGGAACTGCGACAGGTGCTCCAAAGTTCAAGTGGGTCCTGGTGCTGTCGGGGAATCGTGATATTCGGTCTGGTGCCTTCTGGAAGGCACGGGCTCTTATCACACGTACCTGCTGCAGGATGTTTTGCGCCCGCGGGTGTGCCCCCTGACGCCCACTGCCGCGAAGCAAGATCACAACTTCGTGCCAGATCAGAGCACACAGCTCTCGATCTGTCTGTCCGCCTGGCCATCGAAGCCTCCCGGGCACCCCTCGCAGGTGGCGCCAAGAGCGGTGCTGGCAAGGGCGCCAGCGGCGGCAAGGCGCCCAAGCACGGCCTTTGGGGCCAAGGCTCGGTGGTTCAAACATGGGGTCCTGAGGGATGGGGTCATAGGGATGTACACGTCAGTCGTTGAAAGTAGGTATTTGGGGATTCCAATATCGATCTATTTTAGGCGCCTTTGGCCGCCATCTTACTGTCTCCGCTTTCCTAATTCATCCGCCTTTCTCCTTCGTCCGCCTTTCTTCTTCATCCGTCTTCCTACTTTGTCCGCCTTCCTATTTAATGTTTTGACCTGCTTCTTCAGACCGACGGGTAGGGATAGGAAGGGGTCCAAGGGTGGATCTGAACTGTTTCAGGCACCTCGTCCTTCGGACCATCCCTCAGGACCCAGACCCCTGATGTCATGATTTTTTCTTGACGTCCACCCCCAGAGGTCTCGACCCGGTCTCCGGGACGGGCTTTTCATCCTGAGCCGTCTTTTGACGGTCCTGGGCCCGGTCAGGACCCCTGGAGGCCGAAAATAGCAAACAAAATCACTCGCCTTGTTTTTTTCACGACTCGAGGGTGTCTTTGGGACCCCACCTTCGAACCACCGGAAGGCGGCGGCGCGACGAAGAAGCAGAGGCTGCACTGACGGGCTGGGCTGGCGAGGCCGGAGCGCCGCGGGGGACCGTGGCCGTACGGCGGAGGCGGCCGCCGGCACGGGGCGCGACGAACGAGGAGAAGTGGGCGCTGGCGGCGGAGGTGCGGAGGGGCCTTGAGAAGCTCGGGGCCCAGACGCCCTCGAGCGTTTTTCGACCCTCTGGGCGGTAACGCGCGCTATGCCCCCTGCCCTCCCCCGCCCCCCCCCATATCGAAACCCCCCCCCCCCCCCCCCCCATTTCGGCGTTTCAGGGTCGGGACTTCGGGGGACCTTATATATTGAAGAAAACTCGGGCATCGGTTGTTTGGGTCTACACCGAGCCGCCTGATCGGCCGAGGGTCTCGGGGCAAAGACGCCCCAGCACCCCCAAGCCGTGGGATGCCGTGGAGCCCGTGAGGGGCAACGCTAGGGGGGGATAGGCTCAGGGGTGGACGCATCAACCCCAATCGCCGATGGATGCCTGATGGCCGACCCCGCCCAGGAACGCTCGAATCTCGCTCTCGGGGGGGCCTGTCGCCGATTTGCTGGCGATGTGTACGGCCGATTCCAGGTCGATGTCTCCCCCCTGAGAGCTGGTCCCTCCCTACAAACACGCTGCCTCGCAGCCCGCGTGCCGGACTTCCCTCGCCGAGCTCCTCGGTGGCTGTATTTGGCCGGCCAGACGGCGCGGTGTGCACACCAACCGGCAGCCCCCCCTCCCCCAGGAGGGCCGCGGCGGCGGCGCGGAGAGACGGCGCAGAGGTCCGCCCCGGCGGCGCCGCTCGTGGCCATGGCCCGCGGGCGCCCGCGCGCGCATGCCCAACCCGTGCCCGCGCCGGGTGCGCGGGCGCGCGCCCGCGCGTGCGGGGGCCGAGGGCCCCGGAGAGGCCGGGGCAGCGCGCCCCGTCGCCGCCGCCGCTGCCGCCCGCCGCCGTGCGGCCGCTGTCGCCGCCCCACACGGGGCCTGTTCCTGGCGTGCCCTCCCCAGCTGCCTCTCGGAGGGAGGCCAACGATACACCAGCACCAGCCCTGGGCAGTTCCATCCTGGGCCCTGGACTGGTGTATAGACCTCCAGGCCTAGTCCAGGAGGGCTTGTGCACCAGTCCAGGGCCCAGGATGGGCCTGGCCAGAGCTGGCGGTGGTGTATTGTTTGAGCTCTTGTATTGTTTGAGCTCTCCTATGCTTCCGCCTCCACGGGATCATCCGCCTCCACCTCCAGAAGGCGTCTTCCTCCTCCCCCCCCTCCCGGCTTCTTCCTCTGTCCTTTTCTCAAGAAAGATCTCGCCCCCCCTGCCTCACCCTCCCGAGGCCCCGCGACGTCATGTGTTTTCACGACGTCGACCCCCATAGGTTTCGACCCAGTCCGTGGACCCGGCTTCTCATCCCGAACCGTTTCCTGAATGTCACGGGGCGCGGTGAGGGCCTTTGAAGGCCGAAGATGCAAAAAGCGTCCGTCGCGATTTCCTCGTGACCCAGGACGCTGACCTCCCAGGAGGGCCCCCAAACAGCACCAGGACTTTGGTGCCTCAATTCCCGCCGAGGTTGTGGGTCGTCGAGATAGGTCTCTATAGGTCCAGAGGGTTATTTTCTAGCACGCTGGAAGGTCAGGGGAGGTCTGGGTCCGTCCTCCCGCCTCCCCCCTCTGGGCGGCGACCTGCCCCGCGCCCTGGAGGCGGAGGGCCTCCTCTGCGGACCAGCGGTGGCGGAGCTCGGCTCGCCGCTCGGGGGCGGCCAAGAGGGGGGTGATGACTGGGGGGGTGGATCTCGGGGCGGTGGCCATGAGAGGGCTCCGCCCCCTGCCGCCGGCCCCCATCTTTATCATAATGGGATGTATCAGAGTCGCGTCGGTGCGTCTCGGCGCTGCCCTAGCGCATCTGGGAACACCGACGGGGGCGTATAGGAATCATCAGCGCATATTGGGACGTTGGCGTTTTCGAAGACGCCGAATTACGGCGAATCACCGCCGCCCCCTGCCTTTGTGGCAGCGACTATGTGGCCGGCAGCTGGGCTGGAGCTTGACCGAGCTGTCGGGCCAGTTGTTCTCCGAGTTCGTTTGGAAAGCCTTCGGGGAACGCGTGGGGGAGTAGGAGGTTTGAAATCGCCAATGTGTCCGAGCGTTGTGGCAAGAGCTCTGTCAAGCTATCGGACCATGTCATGTGTTCCCCCAACCATTGTGGAAACCCTGCGGGGCACGCTTGGGGGGAGGATGGTGGGGAAGATCAGGAGGAGGCGGAGGAGGAGGAGGAAGGGGAGGAGAAGGAGCAGAAGGAGGAGGTGAGGAGGAGGAGGAGGAGGAGAAGAAGGAGGAGGAGGAGGAGGAGCAGGAGGAGGAGGAGCAGGAGGAGGAGGAGGAGGAGGAGGAGAGAGGAGGAGGAGAAGAGGAGAAGAAGGAGGGACGAGGAGGAGGAGATAGGAGGAAGAGGGGGAGGGAGGAGGAGGAGGAGGAGGAGGAGGAGGAGGAGGAGGAGGAGGAGGAGGAGGAGGAGGGAGCCCAGCGAGTCAAAGCCGGCAACGCCATCTTCAGACGCAGGCTCTCTGACTGGCAGCCTTCGGATGGATTGGTCGAGCGGTAAAATAAATGGCCCCCGTGTTCAGGAGCGTGGGTTTGGCGCCCAACAGCAAGGCGCACCTTGGTTGAACTCGATTTCGCGCGCAGGGCACTTCGGCTCGCACCCGTCCTCGATACACAGAGCCCTCATGCACGTCTTTGGAAACCCCATTGGTGCCCCCGACCTTGAGTACAGTGAGTTGCCTCGCCTTACTTCGAGAGGCACCCGTCTGCTTCCGCTTCTATTGCCGCGCAAGTTTTTCATTTGACTTTTCGAGGGGAGACCGGACTGCTGGGGGACATGCGTCGCCGGGCGCCCAGGCGTTGCGTTGGAGTTTTTGGGGCATATGGCGGACGCCCCAATCGTGTAACAACATCCGACAATTTGCCTTAGAATGCACAGACGATAACGGTTTTCGCGGAGATGCCGGGGCATTTGCCGATTAATCGCCTTTCTTGGTTTTCCCGTGGAATTTGTCATAGGGCTCGGGGGCGACGCGTTGCAGGTTTTTTTGGGGGCGGCAATCAAGGAACAAATTGCGATTGCCACAATCTAAACATTATATTGCAAGTTTTCGCGCGGTCGATGAATGACATGTTTGTTGGGAAGATGCTTGAGAGCAATTGGGATGGCGTGCTGGGGACTGGCTTGGTTGTCTAGCTCATGCGATGGGGGATTGGTAATGGTGCTGCGAGCTTTTCAGCTTTCCGAAATGGAACGAGAACGAACGGATGCGCGGGGTGCGCATGGCGTCTGCGACAATACCGTTCCCGCCGTTCACGGATCGTTCGAAGTTGACTCGGCGACGCGCCACCAATTTCACGCGTGAAACCGACGTGCAATATTTAGCCGACATTGGGTTGGAGCTACCAATCATATTTTCGCCCGTGGTTCGATTGCGTTTAGATTTCGTGCTCGTGGATGTCCTGCATGCTGCGGACCTTGGCATGGCGGCTCCAATCACTGGTAAAATTTGGAGGGAGCCCGTCAATAGCCTGGGGAGGGTCCAACATCGAGGGAGGAATCGAAACCCTCGCCGCTCACCTGAACGACTGGCACATGGCGACAAAGGGCCCAGTGAACATGCAAGGTGGTCTTGCGAAAGAACGGTTGCGAGCGGATGGAGGGTGCCCGAAACTGGAAGCACAAGCAGTTGCAACAGGATACTCTGCCCGGCATGCCGTCACTGTGGCCGAGAAGTTTCCTCAATCTACTCGACGTGACAATGTGACAGTTGCATTTGCAGAGCAATTGGTTGAGTTTTATCAATTGATTTGGGAGGCTGGTCAGCTCTTCTCTGATGCTGAGACAAGACGAGTTGCCGAAGTAGGGTTGCCATATCAAAGCTGATGCCAGTCTTGTCAACCGAAGCCTTCGCGCGACGGGATCGGCTTTGGAAATGCATCCCGACATTTCATGTGATGGAACATTTGACGTGTCATCCTGCTCCCTTGCGAGGCAGCCCGCGGCACTTATGGTTTTACGCATATGGAGATTTGGGTTGGCCTCCTCATGGAGGTTGCCGAGAGTTCCCTGGTCCCTCGGTCGTAGTTTGGCGACCGTATTGTTGCGCAAGTGGTCGATCTTTGCCTTCAACGATGAGCAGGGTTGACGAGCATATGCATGTTTATTTGCGTGATGCCTGAGCGGCAGTTTGGCAGATATGTGAATTTGCACATATGAGCAAATCAACGCTGGCCAACAAACAACAACACAAAACAAGCAACCAACGACAAACAAGCAACGCGAAACATATGGCAGCGGCGGGAATAGCCGCAATAAAATAGTAACTCGTACAACAACAATTTATTACGATATTATCATATAGGTAATATAGGCGTCGAGCTGTATAACCATATGTACGTGTTCGTTATACTACAGTGGGTTCTCTGTGCTAGAAGAGAAGATTCTATGATGGTGGATATACACATACAACCAACATTACAGCAAACCAGTCTTCCGACAACGAATATAGTTATAGTTATAGATGTCCTGTGGGTCTGGGGGTCGACATCATGAGCAACAGCAACATGACGTCGGTTGTCTGGGTTCGACGGCTGGTCGCTGGCAAACTCGGCGCGGCGCTTTGCCTTGATTTCCTGGCATTTGATTGTTCGAGCTGGGCGTTTTCGCCCGGTTTCGGGCCCCGGGACCGTGACATATCGGTTTGGTTCGAGTAATGGGCCAGGGGATGGGGTCTAGGGCTCCGGTCGTGGTTTCTCACCATGTTGCAGTTTTCTCGAGACGTTGGATCTTCGGGGTGCTCTAGTATCCGCCTTCCGTCCTCCGCCCTAATTGCGTTATCTGTCTCGTGCTCTTCTGGCCTTCCTTCCCTTTCTTCCCTTTCCCTCCTCCTCCTTCCTGTCTCTTTCCTCCTGACTGCTCCCTCCAAGGAGGTCTGGGGGGGCGTCGCGAGGTCTGGGAGGGACATGGCAAGCAGACGTTCTGGGTTCTGGGGGGTGTCGCGATCACCCTGCAAGCAGCTGCAGTTCGACGGAACTTTACAACCAGCAGTACACAATCCATTTCCAGACCGTCTTTTTCGGGGAGCCACGCACGCAGTGGCCAAAGAGGCAATCCAACAAAGCTTTCATATGGGGCACGCGCCGTCATGGAGGGGAGGGCCACTACCAGCCGTTTGGGCCCAGGAAATAATTCCCAGGCCGCGTCGGTCCAGGATCGTGGCGGCTGCGACGGACTCTTCGCTCCGTCCCCTGAGATCCGAGGTCGCTAACAAGATTGAACATCGTGAAACGTTACGACCATATGTTTGCTGTATTTCCGAGCCCGATCGCTTGGCGATGGCCTTGGGGTCCGAACGTGGGCGGGAACGTTGAGCGGGAAAACTCGCACGCGATTATTCTCCCCCAGCCCCTTATTTTTCGACGAAAAAAAAGCCGCTCAGAAAAGAAGGGGAACCTTGGGACACACCCCAAGGGGGTTATTCGGACGCACCCCTATCGAGGATGGACGCCCCCCCATCGTATATCCAAGGGTTGGGCCCAGAATTTGGATTGGGCTTGACATACCCTCCGTTTGAAAACTTGCGGCGACGCCTGGATCTCAGGGGGGCCCGCGGCCTCCTCACACGCGCAGCGCCTCGTCGGGCACTTGGGGCCCCCGCGCTGGGGCGCGATGTGGGCCGGCGCGCCCCCTGGCCCAGGCGTGGCGGCGCGCACAAGGGGGTGGCGCGGGGGTGGCGACCTCCTGGGAAGCAGGCGGGGTGGCCAGGGGGCGCCGTAGGCGCCCCCCCAGCTTCCAAGAAGTTGTCCCAGCCCCTCAGGTCCTTCTGAGAACGCACCCTCTGTGACCCACTGCGAGCTCGATCCTGGTGCACTCGACGCTCTGGGGCGTCGGGCACCCCGCTGGAGTTCACCTGGCTGCAGGCATCCTTCGAGCTCTGAGCCCCATCGGGCCTTTTCAGAAATCTGACCTCCTCAGGGGTGGTTGCCTGCCTTCTAGGAAGTCGTCCGCCTTCTCAGAAGACCGCCACCCGTGCGCGACGGCAAGAGGCGGCGGGCCGGGGGCCGCAGCAGCGCCCCGGCCGCTGACCGTGCGACTCGGCGCGCCCGCGCTGGCCGGGCCTGGGCGCCCTCTGTCGCAGCAGGCCCTCCTCCTCCTCCTCCTCCTCCTCCTCCTCCTCCTCTTCCTCCTCCTCCTGCTCCTCCTCCTCTTCCTCCTCCCCATCCTCATCCTTCTCCTCCGCCTCCTCCTCCTGCTCCTCCTCCTCTTCCTCCTCCCCCTCCTCCTCCTCCTCCTCCTCCTCCTCCTCCTCCTCCTCCTCCTCCTCCTCCGCCTCCGCCTCCTCCTCCTCCTCCTCCTCCTCCTCCTCCTCCTCCTCCTCCTCCTCCTCCCCGTCCCGTCCCAGGCGTTCCCGGCCGCGCCGCCGGCGATGGCGCGCTCGGCCTCCGCCCCGCAGGGCCCGCCGGCGCTGGGCCCGGGCTCCGCCCCGCAGGGCTCCAGCCTGGTGTTGCGGCCGGGGCCTGGCCCAGGCCTGCCTCCGCACCTCCCAGTTTCGGGCCGGGCGAAAGGGGGGATTGGGAAAGGGGGGGTTACGAAATTTGCTGCATGCAGCTGGTTTCAACCTCACCGAGGGGCCCATTCCTCGATGCATGGCCGCCTCCCGGCGCCGGGAGGCGCCGGGAAAATCAGCTACGTGAGCTGATCTCAACCCCCTCCTTTGCTATCCCCCCCTTTCGCCCGACCCGACAGTTCGCTGGAGCGGCTCGGGGCGGGGGCGTTCCCTCCGCCTCTGGCCTCCACGGGGGCCCTCGCCGCGCGCCGTCGCCAGCGACTCGGAGTCATCGAGGAGCGAAAAGAACCCTTAAAACCGGATGACGACTATAGCCCCACTGAGGTCCCCGTCTTTGCACTATGAAGGGATAATCATTTTGCGCGGCTTGATTCGATATATATATATATATATACACATATAACAGAACCCCCTTATCTTTGGTGTTGGATCATGGGCCTCTTGTTGAACACAAGCTTTCGCGCCGAAGACCGGTGGAAACCGCCAAAGACCGCCAGAAACCATCGAAGGCCGTCGGAAGACCGCCGAAGACCGCTGAAGACTGCCCGAAAACCGCCGAAGACCGCCAAGGGCCAGTGGGTAACAAGGGGTCCATCGTTGAATGCGTAACCCTATCCCTAATATCTTTTGGCCCTCCGCACTTAGGGCCCCTCCTAACGGGCTAGGGGTCCTTTTATGGCTAACCACGGAACAAGCAACGGGCCCCTGGGGGAACGGGTCGAGGCTTCCGGGGCTTCCTCCGAGGACGCCTCTTTTGTTCGCGATGTGGCACTGACCTCTTCCCTGAGTTCCTGGTGACTCAATTTTTTTGAGCCGGACGTCTTCGCCCAGTTTCGGGCCCCAGGACCCTCACAGATCGATCGGGCTCGAAAAATAATGCAGAAAGATATGATCTGGGCTCCGGGCATTGTTTCTTTACGATGTTTTTTTTTCGACACGTCGGATCTCAGAGTCTTCCCAGGGCCCGCTGTTCATTCCGAGTCACGTCGGATCTCTGGGAGCGGGCCTCGTCGCAGGCCTGCCCGGCGCGGGCCTCGTGGCGGCGCCCTGGCTTGCGAGCGGGAGCTTCGCGGCGGCGCCCGGCGGGCGGCTCGTGGCGACGCCGGGCGGCAGCATCGTGGCGGCGCCGGGCGGCAGCTTCGTGGCGGCGCCGGGCGGCAGCTTCGCCTCGGCGCCGGGCGCGAGCTTCGCCTCGGCGCCGGGCGCGAGCTTCATGGCGGCGCCGGGCGCGAGCTTCATGGCGGCGCCGGGCGCGCCGCCGCTCGCGGCTCTGGCGGCAGCGCCGTGCGGCGGCTTCGTGGTGGCGACAGGGTCCACGGCCCTACCGGGCAGGCCAGCTCCCGCGGGCGCACGGCCCGCGGCTTCCCGCGCCGCGCCGGCGTACGCGCAGGCGGTGGCGAGCTCGGCGGCAGCGCCAGCGGGCGCTGGGGCGGAGTGCCGTTCGGGCGGGCCGCCGCCAGCGCCACCTCGGCACACCATGTGGAAGAGGAACCACGGCGCGAGTATACTGCGGTTGGGCGTGTCGCTCGCGCCGGTTTTGGCCCACCAGGCTTCGGCGCGACACGCGGTCCGGCTCCCCGGCCGTCCGAGCCGTTCCCAGCCCTCCGCCCACGCTGTCCGCTTGCCGCTTGCCAGGCATGGCGTGTCGCCAGGGCCGCCGCCGCGACAGGCGGAGGAGGAGTTCCCGACCGTAAGCCTCGGGATGTCCGCGCGGGCTTTTTGGATCGCCGCCTCGGGCCCCGCCGTGGGCGGCTTGGTCGGCGCGTCAGGACAGGAAGGACAGGACAGGGCAGGACGAAGCCGCGCCCAGACGGCTCGTCGGCAATCATCATATGTGAGATACAGGCGAAGGGCAGACGTGGAACACGAATTTATCTTAGCTGCCCTGGTGCGCTCGTTCTTTAACGTAACACTTGCCGTGTTCAAAACGTCGGCGCTAACACGCTGCGTGTTGGTTCGGCACGTGTTTGTTCACGCTTCGGCGAACGTATCGCGCCAGACCTACTTTCTTAGTCTGCGTGTTGAGCTCCGTGTCAACACGCTACGGGTTGCGTGTTGCACATCGGGGCAGCTAAGGAAACAGTGAATGCGAGCGCGCCTCTCCGCGTGGCAGGGAGCCACGAGATCCGCGCGGACCCCCGAAAGTTTCTGCGCGTGCCCTGCTTCTCCTTCTGGCCATTGTCCCGGGGGTCGTCGAGGGCGCCGCGGTGCAGGCCGCGGCCGGTGCTCCCGTGGGCGTGGCGACGGCGCCTGTGCTCAGCGGGCTGCCGCGGGCGGGGTCCGCCGCGCAGCAGGACGTCCACGGCGCCGCCGAGTCGCTGCGGCCACCGGAGGGCCGGGTCATGACGGCCTCCATGGTCTTCGACGGCGAGGCGGTGGAGATCAGGTGTCCGGGGCACCGCCAGGGCCAGGAGGGCCCAAGTGCTCACATTTCTGTGGCCTCCTTGTCATATAAATAGAGTGCCCACAATTCGTTGTGCACACATTTTAGGTGCTCACAAAATCTTGTGCATCACAGAAAAGGAACATATTTGATATCTCCTACCCTGAACTGTTATATATATTAAGTGTTAAATCTATATATGTATACATATATATGTATACTTATGTGTGTCTATATACGAAAAAAAAAAAAAAAAACAAACAACATCCGTTTGACAACACAGTTGGCACAACCGCGCGTGTGAGATCAAGGCGAGAGTCACGTTTGAAAAAGAACCGATTGAGGCAACTATTACAATAATTGCATGTAGCCATTTCGGGATCGAGGGTGCATTGCAGGACGTCTTTTCGCCCTTGCCACGGGATGCCCCCCGACAAACGCCCCCAGACACAGCAACCTCCAGATCTGAAGGAGCGGTCTGAGGCCTTGGCCGCCAGGCTGGTAGATGACAAGACCCTCTACAACACCATGATCACGCAACACAAGGTTTCGTGCATAACGAGAGCGGCGCGTTTGTCGTGAAGCCGAACCAGGTTTCGGTCGAGTTCCTGAGCACATATTGTACAGAGGGCGCTTTGGTCAGTGTGAAACTCGTGAAGCTGATCGTTCGATATATCGACGCATACACTTTGAAAAAAGTGTCGGGCACAGACATCAAAGGCGCGGTCAGCTACAATGCGTGGGTGGACAGTCAGGCGAAGATTGGAAAACGGCTCGTTGGCTTATCCCGTAGGGGTGCGAGGAGGAGGTCGACCAAAAAAACATCAGGGACGAAAACCAAGTTCAGCGCGAAGGCCATTCTGAAGATCGCCAGCAAGATCAAAAAACAGCGCTTGAAGACCTTGGTCATCAAGGACCGTTTCAGGGAGTGGGGGCACAGCGGGGAGGGAGGGGAGAGCTCGATAAAGAGGGAGGGGGGCAGAGAGAGAGAGAGAGAGAGAGACAGGGAAGGCAATAGACGGTCAAGAGAGATTGATAGAAAAATTGGGGGAGAGAGAGAGAGAGAGAGAGAGAGAGAGAGAGAGAGAGAGAGAGAGAGAGAGAGAGGCAAGGACCAAGCTTGCGAAGGTGCGAAATAGCATGGGGGAGGGGCAGGGAGAGGAGGAGGAGGAGGAGGAGGAGCAGGAAGCGAAAGAGACAGTGGAGCAGCATGAGTGAGATTGGTGACGCCGCCACTTGGTTCTGACGTTCGAACGCCCTCCCGAGGTAGGGAGATCATCCCCTCGCGTTCTCTTCATGTGTGCTCTCTCTCTCTCTCTCTCTCTCTCTCTCTCTCTCTCTCTCTCTCTCTCTCTCTCGCTCTGTCTCGACCCCCCCCCCCACCCACTCTCTCTCTCTCTCCTCTCTCTCTCTCTCTCATCTCTCTCATCTCGCTCTCTCTCCTCTCTCTCTCGTCTCTCTCTCATCTCTCCTCTCTCTCTCTCTCTCTCTCTCTCTCCTCTCGCTCTCTCTCTCTCCTCTCTCCCTCCTCTCTCTCTCTCTCACCCCATCCCCCTCCTTTCCCTCTCGCTCTCTCTCTCTCTCTCTCTCTCTCTCTCTCTCTCCTCTCTCTCTCTCTCTCTCTCTCTCTCTCTCTCTCTCTCTCTCTCTCTCTCTCTCTCTCTCTCTCTCTCTCTCTCTCTCTCTCTCTCTCTCTCTCTCTCTCTATGTTTCTCTCGGCCCCTCGCTGTCTGCGACGCCGCCCGCGATCCCCGCTCGAGGACGGCGGCGCCGCGGCGCAGAAGAAGAACAAGAAGAACAAGAAGAGGAGGAAGAAGCAGATGGCGGCGAAGGGTGCGCAGGGCCACGAGGACCGTTTCTTAGTGATGGCGACGACGGCGGCATTGCAAGTGGCTCTGACGATCATGACGGCAATGGCGAGTTTGTTTCGGAGGTTGTGGCCCGCGACATTCGTAATGGTGACAGCGGCGGCAGCGGTGACGATGGTGATAGCCATTGCGATGATTAACGATGGTGATGTTGATGCAGGTGGTGGTGACGATGGTGATGGCGATGATGATAATGATACCGATGATGATGGCAATGCTGATGCTGCTGATGATGATGATGGTGCTGATGATGAGGATGATGGCGATGTTGATGGTGCTGACGATGATGATGATGCTGATGCTGATGCTGATGCTGATGATGATGATGATGATGATGACGTGGGTTATGTCGACGGTGACGGCGCGTGTTGGTGGCGGTGATGGTCACATGCTGACGCGGCGTTAACGATACTGATGTTGATGATGCCGATGATGTTGATGCTGATGGCGCTGATGCCCATGAGGACGATGACGACATCGATGATGATGACGAGTGCTGAGGCCAACGGCGATGGTGACAACGATGATATCGATAGTGGTTCAGACAAACACCATGATAATGATGGCTGTGGCGGTGTTGGTCGCGGGGGTGCGTCGGCGATGAAATTTGATGCATCGCTTTAACTCCTCACTCCTCCCGCCCTTCCGTTTTCTACCCTCGAACGTGGGTCGGGCTAGATTGATATTCTCCCGCGAGATTTGCGCGCCGCGTGCCCTCGCCGCCCCTTCAATGCTCTTTACTTTCGCACGCGTCCCACGTGCACCCTCGCATCCTGCCCCGTCTCGTCCGTCTCTACCCTTCCCGCCGTCTGCCCCCCTCCCCAACGCCTTCCACCGCCCCGCAAATCTCGAGCCGTAATGCAGACCCTTATCCCCGTCCACTCCTCCCCCGCGCAATCGCCATCACCGCGACCTCGCCGCCGCCGCCGCATTCGTCGCCAGGACGACGACTTCGGGAACCCTGACACGATCATCGACAAGGACACTTGCAACCTGATCCACGATCCGCGGGAGAAGAGTGCCAAGGCCACGCGCCCGTTCCTGCCTCGAACTCCTCTCCCCGCTCTGCCCTGCCCCTGCGCGCGTTCCGCCCCAGAGGCCAACCCCGACGACGCCGAGAGCGTGCCCGCGGTCAGCGGCGGCGAGGTTGAGATCTTGGAGGACAGCGACGACCGCTGCGAGGACAGGGGGGGCGCGGGGAAGCTGAAACGCCTCAGGAGAAAGTGGAGGAATGATGAGGATAATGAGGAGAGAAGGGGGGAGGGCGGGAGGGAGGGGGGGATGAGTAGGAGAGTGGTAAGGATAAGGATAAGGACAAGGCTAATGAAGAGGGATGGAGGGAGGGCTGGAGGATGAGAGAGGGGTGAGGAGGCGGAGCATGAGGAGGACGCGGAGGAGACTGAGCAGGAAGAGCAGGAGAGAGGGTAGGAGGAGGGGGAGAAGGAGGATGAGGAGGAGGAGCACGATGAGGAGGAGGACGAGGAGGAGGACCCACCGAAAACGTGTTGACTGGTTTTAGCGTCTCGAAGCTTGGTGCCGCCTGGCGACGCGTTGTTCTATCCAACACGAAATCGTTTTTGACGGGGCGGCTGTCTCGTGGTGTGTCTGGGCCTTCACTTGGCCCTCGTCGCGGTTCCCAGGCCATGCATGGCCCATGATAGCCCGACTGCACCCCGCGGCACCATCGCGCCCAGGATAGTTCCGATTGCGCCAGCCCGCCCCCGCACACCCACCACTGTGAGGCCTATTGGCGGCGCGTGGGGGTGGGTAGGCGAAATCAGACCTACGCGCGGCAGCATCACCGCGCCACCGCGCATCTGT